TGCTGTTCTCTATATAATAGCTATTCCTCATTCTGGTTGGTTTATCACTGTTACCACTTTAACTTTACTTTTGTGTAACTTACTCTGCTTTTTCTCTAAAGTCAACGATCTTTCTAAACAAGTATCAGTACTTAAAGGATTTTGTGGGGTTTAATTAATTATCTAAAAGCCCTCGGAGGTAGTCTGCTTGCCTCAGTAACAGTAAAGTCTCTGTTTTGCTTCCCTAAACAATTCGAATCAGCCCCCACAGTACGTCTTCTCAGCTTTTCCTTTAAAGAAAACATCAAGTTGTTTCTACAGTGTCTATTCAGTGTGCCAGGCTCAGTGCTAAGCACTTTACCCGGATTATCCCATTTGATCCTGACAATAATCTAGTGAAGTTGGCCCCTTGGTGGTCTGCATTTTGAAGGTGGAAGAATGGAAACTTAAGGAAGTTAAATATGGGTCGGCACCTGTGGCTCAAGTGGCTAAAGCGCCAGCCACATACACTAAGGTGGCGGATTCAAATCCAGCTCAGGCCCGCCAAAACAACAATGATGGCTGCAACCAGAAACTAGCCGGGCATTGTGGCAGGCATCTGTGGTCCCAGCTACTTGGGAGGCTGAGGCAAGAGACTTGCTTGAGCCCAGGAGCTGGAGGTTGCTGTGAGCTGTGATGCCACAGCACTCTACCCAGGGGGATACTTGAGGCTCTGTCTCAAAAAAGAAAAAAAGGAAGTTAAATATAACTGGTCCAAACTCACCTGGGAAGTACAGAACTGGGCTGTGAATCCAGTCCCTTCATTCAAGATCCCCAGCTCTTAAGTATTACTCTGTCCTGTCTCCCAGGAAATTCCATTTTCTGAGAAGAGATTAAATGGACGTTACTTAACAGAGCCTGGGTCTCCATGAACAGCTGGAATCTGCCCATCCATGGGTTTTCTTTCCAGTGGTAAAAATGGAAGGAGAATTTCATGCGCTGACGTTTCATCCAGGTAGAGGGTGGAATGTTGCAAACCATGAAGATCCTAGAGCTAAAAAGTAGAGAAAGGCTCTAAACCTAAAGGAGGCGTTCCCCGTGACTCTAGATACCCCAGGATTGTGGGAATCTGCGGAGGGAAAGCCCCTCTCGGGAGAGGTCACCGCAGATTTCTCTGGTTAAGGTCTGATTTAATTCATTATCGCACTGTTTCAGCTTTGGAGCTTTACTGCCCTCGAGAATCAGAGAAAAAGCTTTCATTGTTCCTACAGTTTTGGTCTTCTACAATTCCTTTCCCCCAAAAGGCACCTTGTTGTTCTGATAGACTTTAGATCTCTATGAGCTTCTCAGAAAGAAAATCAAATTAATAACATAAATAATGTTTGATTTGGTCATGTTTCCTCAGAAAGCAATGCCTGAGGCAAAAGTTTATATATAACTGCTTTATTTGGAAGTATAAATCAGAACGAAAAAGATGAATTATAAAAAAGAAAAAAAATGCAAATTAATGAAGCTTCTCTTTCGTCATCCACAGCCGTGGCCCTGAATTTCGTATTCCAGAAATCCCTAGGTATGTACCAATGGTAATTTTTAAAATCTGGCTTGAGATGTGAGGACAAGTGTAGAGAGGGGAGCAGGTCGATTGTTACTTATGAAAAATTTAAGTGTGGCCACTCCTATACTTGAAAAAAGTATTGAGGAGCTCAGTGCCTGTAGCTCAGCACCTAGGGTGCTAGTCACATACACTAGGGCTGGCAGGTTCGAACCCGGCCCCAGCCTGCCAAACAACAATGACAACTACAACAAAAAATAGCCACGTGTTGTGGCAGATGCCTGTAGTCCCAGCTGCTTGGGAAGCTGAGGCAAGAGAATCACTTAAGCCCAAGAGTTTGAGGTTGCTGTGAGCTGTGATGCCACAGCACTCTACCAAGGGCAACATAATGAGACTTTGTCTCAAAAAAAAAAAAAAGTATTAAGAGTTTTTCTAATATTGGAATGAAAGATTTTTGTTGGTATTTTATTTTATTTTATTTTTTTGAGATGGAGTCTTACTCTGTCACCCTTGGTAGAGTGCCATGGCATTGCAGCTCACAGCAACCTCAAACTCTTGGGCTTAAGTGATTTTCTTGCCTCAGCCTCCCAAGTAGCTGTGACTACTGGTGCCCGCCACAATGCCCAGCTATTTTCTTGTTGCAGTTGTCATTATTTAGCGGGCCCAGGCTGGGTTCGAACCTGCCAGCCTCGACCACTGTGTGGCTGGCACCCTAACCACTGAGTTCCAGGTGCCGAGCCAAGTTTTTTGGTTTTTGAGAGAGAGTCACACTCTGTTGCCTAGGCTAAAGTACCATGGCCTCAGCCTAGCTCATAGCAACCTCCAACTCCTGGCTTCAAGCAGTTCCCCCTGCCTCAGCCTCCAGAGTAGCTGGGATAACAGGTGCTTGCCACCATACTTGGCTAATTTTTTTTCTATTTTTGGTAGATATGGGGTCTGGCTTTGCTCAGGCTGGTGACCTCAAGTAATCCTGACCTCTAGTAATCCTCCTATCTTGGCCTCCCAAAGTTCTAGGATTACAAGTGTAAAGCACTGCACCTGGCCTTAGAATAAAATTGATTCAGATATATGAAGGGCTAAATTATAGGAAAATCCATCCTATAATTGGTAACTTTAAAAGGTAAAAATGTAGTGAGAAATATTGTAACTTGTAAGTGTTAATAAACTCATAAGAAAACTTGTAAGTTAACAATTATATTTTACAATGTACCTTTTGGTTAGGCATGGTAGCTCACACCTATAATCCTTCCAAACAGTTTGGGAAACTGAGGCAGAAGCATTGCTTGAGGCCAGGAGTTCAAAACCAGCCTGGGCAACATACCAAGACCCCCTTCCTCTATAAAAATAGAAAAAATTACCTGGTGTGGTGGTAGTGTCCTATAGTTCCTGCTACAGAAGAGACTAAGGTGAAAGGATTGCTTGAAGCCAGAAGTTTGAGGTTATAGTGAGCTATGATCAAGCCATTGCACTTCAGCCTGGGAGATAAAGCAAAACCCTGTCTCTTAAAACAAAACAATAAATAATAAACAAAATAATTTATAACAGAATAAAAGTCAATTTCTATAGTGTTTCTAAAGTATTCTAAATAGTTTATTTAAAATATATCCTAAAAAGTATGTTTCATTACACCAAAGAACTGGAATGTAGCAGATAGTATGATTTATATTGTGTTTTGGTTTGTTGAGATGGAGGTAAGAAATGGTATATAATGTGAGCCCAGATGAGTTCATGATTTCTAGGGTCAGCTCAGGAGGAAAGAGGGTCCTTAGCCTGCTGTTGATTATATTTGGGTGTAGATCCAGAGTCTATGTTCTATAAAACAGAAAAGTAACAGAGATTTACAGTCTTAACTTCACTTTTCTTCCATGCAAAAATAGTCTAATAACTCTTTTACATAAACTTCAAGGTGAGACAGGGAAAGGAGGAAGGCTTAATTTTTCTAGGTTTTTTTTTTTAACCCAGTTTCATAATCCAGAAGAATGATATTCTACGGTTAGGATGGAAATAAGGCTGATTGTAGGAGGTTGAGGCTCCTGGTTCCCCAAACCCAAACCCAGTTGGCCTCGTTAGATTACTCAGTAGAACCAGAAAGTTCACCCATGGCACAGATGAATTGAAAGCGAAAGTTTTGTAGAAACCAAAAGTAAAACTGAAGCAGCACGGGCAGCATGAATAGAAAACAAAAGTGACTTTGCACAGGCTGTAGTATAACACAGAGACATTTTATTTAAGAACAAAGAGAGAGCTTAGCGCACTTCCGAAGAGAGTTGGAAGTAGGTCCTTCTCACAAGCGAGACCAGAGATGCAAAGGCAGCGTAGAGGTATAAAATGTCCATCTCCCCATCTGAAATTGTTTGTAACGCCTTCATTGATCCTTCTGCACCTCCAGGAACCTTTGTCCTTGTCTACTCATCGTTGATTATTGTCCTTTTTGGTAACCTCATACCTATATTCTTTCCCCTTTTTTGGCAAGAATTGGTGAGTGCTGATCACAGTGTTCCCATAATGTTTCTGTGGACCCTCCAGACTTCCTTATTCAGCTGGCCAGACTTTTCTCTCATCTCCCTTGAATCCCCTTTCATTGTCCCTTCTTCCTAATAAATACAAAAACAAAATATATGCTTAATACTCTACTGACAGAGTTCTGGGTTCTGTTTTATTTATATTTTAAACTTGTACAAGTGTTTAAAGACTTATAAAGTAAATATTTTGGTTTTTGCAGGAATTATCTAGACAAGACAGATGCTATCAAGGTAAGTGTACATAAATTTTTTTAGGATGCATTGGGTCTATTTTACTATCTATTTATAGTTTTTAAATAATTGGCTTTAGTATAAAATTATTTTTTAAACTAGATAGTAGAAACGTTTATATAAAAGCTATTAATAATTATTTTAAATATCTCAAACTAAAATAATAATAATAATGCTAGTTTTATTTCTGCTTCTATTTTAGGCACCAAAAAATAGACAGAATGGTGGATTGCTAGTGTTTGATCTAAAGGGTAAATGATTTATTACTTAGAAAGAATGTATTTAACCATTATTTTGTCCTAAATATTAAGAAAAATACTGGAATGGTTGTGTATGATTGAACAACTTAACATTAAATCCTTTATGATAAATGTTATCTATCTTTCAAAAAAAAAAACCTAAGTATTTACCAATTAGAAATTTATGTTAGGGACATCAATGTTGATAAAATACTGAGGTGTTTTATTACTTTTCTTTCAGAAAAAGCGATGATTGAACCAAATGAAGCAAAGTCAGAGTAAGATGTCTTTGTGTAACTGATCTATCACATGCCCTTAAGCAATTAGAACACGATAATGCAACCATTTGTCACCCAATTAAATTTGAAAGGCCAGAAATGCATGGATTAGCACTTCAGCTTTTGCTTCAGCCAAAGCAACTGTTACCTAGATAGAAGGACATTTAAAATGAAAAATGAATTTTGATAAAAATGTAAAGGTATAGATACTATTCATGTCCGGTGCTTAAACATTACATAGTCTATATTTTCCTTCCATAATCATTTTCACTGTTCATTCTTAATTCCCTTTGATACTAGCTTATTTCTTTCAGAATATTGCTTTAAGTGAATCTTTTCTTTAAAATTAGAAGAATATTTACTATAATGTGAGTCATTACTACTAAAGAAAATAATCACCTTAAAAACTGAAGAAGCTGGTGTGAAAAAAATGACACTACAATACCAGCTTAGAAGCTAACTATTAAATACCTTCTCTGTTCAAATCATTGATTCTGATTATTTATTATTACTATTTTTTAATTTATTTATTTTTGTGAGACAGTCTTACTTTGTTGCCCCAGTAGAGTGCTGTGGGCACAGCAATCTCAAATTCTTGGGCTCAAATAGCTAGGACTATAGGCACCTGCCACAACACCTGGCTGTTTTTTAGAGACAGGGTCTCACATTTTCTCAGACTGGTCTCGAACCCTTGAACTCAAGCAATCCACCCACCTTGGCATCCCATAGTGCTGGGATTATAGGTGTGAGCCACTGCGACCAGCCCTGATTCTGAGGATTTATGCAAGCCCTTCAGATATGATCATCTACTTTATGCAATAAAAATTCTATGATTCTATGAAAAAATGCACCTTAAAAGATGAATATAAAGTACATTCATAGGGATTATTGACAAATGTGTAGGTACCATTCTGGTGGGATTCTTCTATTTAAATTCATATTTTTTTGGTTTATTCTGAATATTGTTGGCTGGTAAAAATTCTACCTTATGCACATATACTTTAATTTTCATACTGTCAAGGCTAAAAATGTCCATTTTGGCTTTTGACATATAAATAAAATAAATATTTTTTATATTAAAGAGAATGTAATGTATAGCAGATCAATGGTAGAGGATCTGTTTATTTTAATTTAAAGATATAACCAACTAGAAGAAAAAGAGACCTGTAAAGTATATTAATCTACATGTAACTACATGTATCTTATTATATGATTAAAAAACATTTAAATAGGCTCGGCGTCTCTGGCTCAAGTGGCTAAGGTGCCAACCATATACACCTAAGGTGGCGGGTTTGAATCCAGCCCGGGCCTGCCAAACAACAATGACGGCTGCAACCAAAAAATAGCCAGGCGTTGTGGTGGGCACCTGTGGTCCCAGCTACTTGGGAGGCAGAGGCAGGAGACTCGCTTGAGCCCAGGAGTTGGAGGTTGCTGTGAGCTGTGATGCCACGGTACTCTACCCAGAGCGACAGCTTGAGGCTCTGTCTCAAAAAAAAAAAAAAAAAAAAAAAATTTAAATAAAAAAGCTAAGAAATATTTAGTTGTCTTTTGATGAAAGTAAGTCACTTTTGTGCCCATGAGCCACAATGTTCATAGACCATAAGCCATGTTGGAATTAGAGGAATGGGTAATCCACAGCTTGAGGTAGATAAAACCCAGAGATAAATCAGATGCAGCCTGGGAGTGACTGTAAGTTCTCTTGATCTCAGTAATAATTATACCTGCTTATTGAACTACTTTTGGCAAGGTCAGAATGATCATGTTCCATTTAATTTGCTTTCAGAGAAGAGCAAAGGTGGTTAGTGTAGCCAGTAAGCATCACAAGTGCGTATGGCTTTGTCACCTCAGGTACCTCACCCAGAGTTGAGGGTAAACAGGGCCAGTCCTGGAAAAAAATGATCAAGTAATAAACCAGAAACTCCTGGAATACCTTTACTTGGGAAACAGCATAACTGATCTGCAAAGTCGGTGAATTCTCTTAGCACAGCTTCCATTCTACTCTCCACCTGGTGCTGGCTTTATACTGACTGGCAAGTGAAATTTGCCAAAAGCCCTCACTAAATTGGCTGAGAGAAAATCAGAAGTTTTCTTTCTCTACCAGTTCTTTGCCTTAGTCTTCTGATTCTTCAAAGAATCAAAGGCCTGAAGTTCAACCTTCTCTTCAATTAAAATCTATTGACTTCCATTTAAGTCTAGGCCCAGGCACAGGGGTGTGTGGACTCCATAAACCAGGAGTTTCAAATTTCAAAGCCCACATTTATCTTTTTTTCCTTCAGTAAATCCAATGTGCGAAAGATTTTGTATACCCAACAAATTGCTTTTAATTAACAAACTATTTTCAGAAGTAGAAGTAAAAGATATCTTTAGGCTCTGGACAAAGTTTTCGGGATCATGGATCTGTGGTTCTATGGTGAAACTTCCAAAAACATGTACGGATGTGAAGGGGAAATGGCTGAAGCAAATTCACAGCACTCAACTCCTTGGGTGAGGTGGAAAAAAATTGTGTATCTAGGTTTTTTATCACATGACCATGTTTTATCATCTTTTCCAAAATGTTATTACAAGCTAATTTTTCTTCCCATTTTTACGTTTTTAGTAAATGCCTCTTTGGACACAGACCAAGATTGGCAAGCAAATTTTATACATTACCAACACGAGTCTCTCTAAATGTAGCTAAGACACTCTCGGAAAAGTAAGTTTTAATTAATTTGGGTTTTAGGCCCACGTTTGACAAGTGTAAGTCATTTTAAGACAAAGTTTAAAATATGAATCTCCTGAAAAAAAATCAATGTCAATAGAAATTCTGGGACATTTCCTAAATATATCCAATGCAGTTCACATACTAAGGAGAAATCCTAAAATCTAGGATATCTGTCTGATACCTTAAATATGTTCCAGCAGAATCTCTAACCTGACTAAATCTGTAACCTTATTAAAGTACTAAATCAAATTCTTCCCTTTTCCAAAGGATATTATTCCATCATGTAAAATCTTGAATCTTTTCTCAGTTATAACTTTTGTTAAATTAAAGTTAAAAAAAAAAAATCTTTTAGAGTACCCTAGTTATGTGTACCCTAGTTTTTCTTAAATGACTGGAGGCCTGATTACTGTAAGTTATGTCACTTTCTTACATGTAAGTCAATAGATTTTAATGGAAGAGAAGGTTGAACTTCCGGCCTTTGATTCTTTGAAACTATCTATGACAACAAAAGTGGCCAGAAAGGAATTTAGATTTTACTGTTAAAATTATGATTTGAAAAAATAATAATAATAAAATAAAATAAATAAATAAAATAAAATTATGATTTGAGGATCAGTTGTTACATAGGTATTTTTGGTATGTTCATTGCCTTTAGACAGTGAATCTTGAGATTATTGAGTATGTTGGCTGCCATTATGCAAGCTTCACAAAGATTATCACAGACATTTCCAAATATATACAAATACCTAGGACTATACTAGCTACATTTGGGTTTTTAGGCCCATGTTTGACAAGTATAAATCATTTTAAGACAAAGTTTAAAATATAAATCTCCTGAAAAAAAAACTAACGTCCATAGAAATTTTGACATTATTCCTAAAAAAGGGATATAACTTAGTAAAAATGTAAGTACTGTATTTCATGATTCTAAAGCACACTTTTTTTTTATATTTTAACATCTTTTACAATTGACTTACAAATATAAGTCATCTTAGACTTGTAGTTGAAAATGTTTTGCCTTTTTTTAGTGGTATATAAAACACAGTGTGTCTTAAAATAAATAGATGGTATCTTAGATTCAATGAAATACTGTAATTTCTAGGAAGAAAAAAGGCATCAAAGCCCTTCATCTAGATTGGATACTAGAGTCTATAAATTCTAGTCATCACTTGTGTGGTGACCTTTAGCATAACAGGAATGTCACCATACTGTAAACTCAATATTCCAGTGATTTCTCAACTTTTCATCTGTAGAGTTTCTTCTTGAATGAAATTTTTTTTTCACAATTAGAAGACTGAGAGAGCAGAGGCAGACTACATGTAAATTATCTTTGCGTGCATTTATTCAATTCCAGAGGAGGGTTTTGCTTTAGCCTCATATGGTAGAGAAGTAAACGTTCCATTCCTTCCCCATAGTACTAAGACTGTAACAAAGTGGTCTACCTATTTGCTAAATCGGTGCACAAGACCACTCACTAGCTTTAGAAATGTTTTGCATTTACATTTCAATGGGGGGAATGGAGCCACCATAACTTAGGGGAAAAAATAATACTTTATGTCTTTTTATATATGTCCATGTAAACTAGAAATAAAATTGAGAGTCTTAAGACCTCAAAAGAAAGACTTGTGGTTATTTTTCTACAGCAGGGGTGCCTGTCTTTATGAATAGAGTGTACCATCTAAAAATTCCTTATATCAATGGGTTATTTATTAACATAATGTTTCAAGCTTTGGGTGGTGCCCTTAGCTCAGTGGATAGGGCACTGGCTACATACACCAGGGCTGGCAGGTTAGAACCCACCCAGGCCAGCTAAACAACAATGACAACTGCAACAAAAAAATAGCCAGGCATTGTGGCAGGTGCCTGTGGTCCCAGCTATTTGGGAGGCTGAGGCAAGAGAATCACTTAAGCCCAAGAGTTTGAGGTTGTTGTGAGCTGTGATGCCACGGCACTCTACCCAGGGAAACAGCTTGAGACTGTCTGGAAAAAAAAAATAGTTTCAAGCTTAAAGCCCAAAAGAGAAAGCTAACCCACTTTTAGTTCAGCTACTTAATGAAAAGGCTTTTATATTATGACCAAAGGTTACTATTAGGGTTGGACTCTCAAGTGTAGTGTTTAGCAATGGCAGGAATCAATTTACAAACTTAAAAAAAACCCTCAAGATTAATTTTCTTGAATAGTTTTATTCCATTATATCATTATGATGTGGCAAAGTTTTTCTTTTTCGGAGACACTTTCACTGTGTTGCCCTCAGTAGAGTGCTATGGCGTCACAGCTGACAGCAACCTCCAACTCCTGGGCTCAAGTGATTCTCTTGCCTCAGCCTCTCAAGTAGCTGGAACTACAGGTGCCTGCCACAATGCCCAGCTATTTTTTGTTGCAGTTGTCATTGTTGTTTAGCAGGCCCAGGCCAGGTTTAAACCCAACAGCCCTGTGTATGTGGCTGGAGCCCTAGTTGCTGAGCTACAGGCACCAAGCCGTGACAGAGATATTTATATAACAGATTACCTAAATGCTGTGTTAAAAAACTCTGAAAAGATTCTAAAATTTGTCACATAATAATAAATGCTAAGTAAAATTAGGATTTTAATCAATAATAAAAATTATTGGTAATGCTTTCCCATAAAGAAGATTCTGCATTTGAGCTAGTTTACTTAGTGTGCATTTATATTAAATGTAGGGTGTGTGTATGTGTGTGCTTATGAACCCATATAAAGCATTAAACAGAATTGTAACCTAGGAAAATATTTTTCACTGTCTAACATTTTAGGAAGGAAGTCTCTTCAAAAACTATTGAAAATAAAATTTCTTTAAAGAACCCTGAAAATAGAGTGTCTTCAACGAGTATTGAAAATAAAAGTATCTTAAATCTACAGTCTGACCTGTGGTCATCTTCCTTCTTAAAAGAAAGCACAGGTAATAGCATTTGTTTTTTTGAGTTGAGTAACTGTGGTTCTAGTTTAGCCCTCCTTTTCAGAGTTGGCAGCTCTGTAGGTCTGTAGCAGGTCATAGGACTTAGTAGTTTCTCAAGTTCATATGCAGCCAGGTATGGGATCCATGAGCATACATTACATGAAATGATAATGACTGCGTATTAAATCCTAGAATGAATTGAAATTCCTATGAAAGCATTAACAACTTCTGTTCACTTAACAGTAGAAAGCCAGAGTGCCCAGTGGTGGTTTAGAAGCTGTGAATACAACAGTTGACAAATAGAGAAAGTCCTGGCACTTATGAAGTTCACATTCTAGAAGACAGCCAACTCTTAGAAATAAATAACAATAGGCTTGTCTGAAGTGAGTTATCTCAGTTGATTGTTCACAGTCAGTTATAAACTCCTTGTTCTACTCTTTCCCCCCTTCTCACTACTGCACTCAACTAGTCTAGGAAAAAAAAATGCAAATAATCCTCTGGTGTCTCTTCAGAACAAATAAATCTTTTGCCTTTTACTAAAGATTTCCTTGAAGAGGAACCATTGTGAATTGATAACCAATTTTTTGTTTGTTTGTTTGAGACAGAGTCTCACTTTATCACCGTCAGTAGAGTGCCTTGGCGTCACAGCTCACAGCAATCTCCAACTCCTGGGCTTAAGCGATTCTCTTGCCTCAGCCTCCTGAGTAGCTGGTACAACAGATACCTGCCACAACACCCAGCTATTTTTTTGTTGCAGTTTGGCTGGGGCCGGGTTTGAACCTACCCGCCTCGGTATATGGGGCCAGCTCCCTACCCACTGAGCCACAGGCACCTCCCAGTAACCAATTTTTTTGAGTCTCTCTCTCTCCTCTCTCTAATAAGCAAGCCAGTTACAGCTTGTGATAGGCACTGCAATGTAAGCAGGCAGCACCTGGGGAGAGGACTGCTTCAGCTGTAGGGATCAGGAAACCTCATGATGTTAAGTGTTGGGGCAGTTCTATGACATCACAGGATTTCCTTAATTCTTAATTATGACCTTCCTCTGATGACATCAGTGTGGTGAGTCAGTGCATGGGCTGGGTGCACACTGGAAGATCAGAGTGCTCGTGGGCCAATGGAGACTGTAATTGAAACCGAAGCAGGTAGATGGGTGGCCCAAATAATGCAGCCTTCCTCTCTTGAAAGAGCTTGGTACTCTTTTTCAGGGTAGCACTTTAGGTTTAGAATCAGGAGTTTGTTGTAGTTTTAAGTTTTATCTCTCTCTCTCTCTCTCTTTTTTTTGGTCTGTGTTTTCTTATATTGTCTTATCTAGGGTTTTCTTAGATTTCCTCATTTTCTTCTTTCTAACACATGTTTTATACATTATTTAGAGTAGCTCATGGCAGCACTCATAGACGGCATCTCACCAGACTTCCCAGACACTCAAAATCTTACAAGAAAAAAGGTTATATTCAAAATACTACCTTGTTGATGCTGAGAAAATTAAATAAGTTAATATATGTAGTGTTCAGAATGTAGCTTTGAGAAAATGACAACTGTTATTTTTATTTTTATTCTTTTTTTTTTGAGACAGTGTTTCACTTTATCGCTCTCAGTAGAGTGCTCTGGCATCATAGCTCACAGCAACCTCAAACTCTTGGGCTCAAGCGATTCTCTTGCCTCAGCCTCCCGAGTAGCTAGAACTACAGGCACCGGCCACAACACCTGGCTAGTCTAGAGACAGGGGTCTTACTCTTGCTCAGGGTGGTCTCAAACCTGTGAGCTCAGGCAATCCACCTGCCTCAGGCAATCCAGAGTGCTAAGATTACAGGTGTGAGCCACCATCCCCGGCCCAATTATGTTACTTTTAATCCTTGGGTAGTAATAGGATCTGGCAAAATTACATTTTTGAACTTTTCAATGTTTGTTGATTAAATTATGCATATTGTTTTAGGTAAAGCGGGCAAAGACACAGTCATTGCAAAGCAGGAGAAAAATAATGAATCTTGCCTTCAGGATACTGACAGTAAGTTGTCAGAATCAACCGATGATGACGAAGATGATACCAATGATGAAGATAATAATGAAAGCAGTAACGCTAAAAAGGATACTTGCGCTCCACTAGAGTTAATGGCAGAAGTAAGTTCTTCTTGTGCATTATAATTTCAGAAACTTAAAAAACTGAAATAAATAGCCTTGATGATTAAAACAATTAGTAATTGTTGCATTGTTCTCATGTGAGAGCTGTGCATTGCAGGGATGTAGGAAGTAGAATGGTGGTTACCAGAGGCTGGAAAGGGAAATGGGGGTGAAGAGGAGTGGGCCAACGGGGACAAAAATACAGTGGGATAGAAGGATAAGTTCTAATATTCAGTAATGCAGTAGGTAAATTATTGTTCACAGTAATTTTTTGTCTATTTCAAAATAATAAGAGAAAAACTATAATGTTCCCAACATAAAGAAAAGATAAATGTTTGAGGAGATGGATCTCAACTACTCTGATTTGATCATGACACATCACACATCGTATGCTGGCATCAAAATGTCACAGGTACCCCCAAAATATGTATACCTGTTATATAACAATTAAAAAATAAGAATTTTTTTAATTAGCAAAAAGCTCCTCGCCCACACACAGATGCTCACCTGGATACTCATGGTTCTTACTTTCACCAGGTTAGAGTTAAAAGATCCTAGACTGTACATATCATACTCTAGTAAGGCAGAAAGATCCTAGACTGTACGTATCATATTCTAGTAAGACAGAAAGATCCTAGACCGTATGTATCATATTCTAGTAAGGCAGAAAGATCCTAGACCGTATGTATCATATTCTAGTAAGGCAGAAAGGTCCTAGACCGTATGTATCATATTCTAGTAAGGCAGAAAGGTCCTAGACCGTATGT